TATGTATGGCAAGAACAAGAAGTATACAAGTATAAGGCCTTTAACATTCTTTAAGCATTCTTCCAAAGTAAGTTACATTCTTTCAAAGTGAGTTACAGTCTTTTAACATTCCTTCAACGTGAGCTACACAAATAAAGTTGTGAAGATACAACATCACGTTTCAGAGAAATTTGCATACGTGATTTATAATGGTCGGAGCTGTAACGTAAGATTTTGCGATTCTAAGGAAGTACGGTGCAATTATTCTCAAGAATATCATATGGATTTTTCCCTACTCCAATCTCGCCGTTACGTGATTTGTTGCAATTGACGTATATTAGAGGGATTGTCTAGAGAATCGGCTCAGGTATGTTAAGGCTATCCCTTCTTTCTTTTTGGCATGATCTATACAACACGAACGAAACGAGCAAATGCACAACTTCCATAAATGATTCTATTCATAGAAATACTAGAGATTCCTATGTTCTTGATTCCCCATATGTCTTATTATTCTATCATTTGTTCATGGGTCTCAGAAAATACGTAAATTGATAAAGTTTATTTCATGATGTTATAGGCATAATGGTCTTATGACGTGCCAAGAGATTTTATTAACGTATTTCATATGCATTTCATCCATTTATACATGCACATTGACCCATGACCAGATGGCGTTATATATATATATATATATATATATATATATATATATATATATATATATATATATATATATATATATATATATATGGGATATGGGAAAGGTTATGGCGTTATATACCCACCACCACCTGATCAGCTGGTATACGTTGATGATTTTGCCCATAGTGGCCGAGATGATATGACGGGATGCCCTCAGAGGCCTGATGATGTTATGAAACATGTACCTATGCACGACATGACATTCATACGCATATGCATGACATTATAATTATTTTATAATTTACAGAGTTATCCAGACTTACAGGTTGAGTCATTTACTCTATATTTCTTCTATGTCTGTTATGTACTTATTTATGTGCCTTACATACTCGGCACATTATTCGTACTGGCATCCCTTTCGAGAGTCCTCCAAGTAGGCTATCAGCTCAGCGGAAGATGTTGGTGTGCTCCATTTGCTTCGGAGTTACTTGTTTGGTTAGTATGATTTAGACGTGTATTGCTTGGTATTGATGCCCCCTTTTTTTCGCAAAATCGGGTTTACGACATTTGGGAGGACAACTCTATTCCCTTTTGGGATTTGGGTTTTTTGGAATTGAAGAGTCGCCACCTAATAATTAAGTGCATTAGGACACTAAGGGTTTTTGTGTTGAAAAATCAGAGTTTGGGTAAGGGCTAAAAATTATCTCGAGGGGAAGGTGTTAGGCACCCTTCAAGATCCACTAGTGTGGTTCTCGGTTATGCTATATTGTGACTTCATGTAATAAAATAAACAATCAAAGATTCAAATATACAAAATTGCAAATAAGCTAAAAAGACTTTGAAGGTAAGTAGGGAAGACAGAGATTTACGAAAAGGTTTGAATGGTTTTTCAAGAAGAGACGAAAACAAACAAAGGGAGAGGGGTCCTAGGTTCATGATTAATATGGATCATTAATGCAATACTCAGTAATTGCTCCTTAGAAAAGGGGCTACATGAGATATTAGCACATCGGTCATCATCTCCATATTCTACTTTTCCCACCCCGTAATGGTTACTAAACGCGTGTGTTGGTTACGAATACTTACCGCGTGCTATTATTCGTCCCGTTCTATAAGTCCTGGAGGGTATTTAGGACCACTATTCCTATGTGGTAGGGACTAAGCTGAACCCTTAAGTTTAAAGGCAAAAATGCTAAGCGACATACATAACAAATAGGACTGCACATCAGGGAACATACGAAATCAAATAAAGGCTCACAGATCCCTCCTCAAATGAACGCATAATTAGCACGTCTTAAACACATTCAAGGTCTTAAAGATATGAGTTTTTTTACAAAGGAATAGGTAACAACAGTTAAAGCATGGTTTTAAAAAATGAGGTAGCAACAGTAATTTTATGAGGTACAGGACAAGTAAAATAGCACGATTCTGGGCAGAGGTTGGTAACCCAGTGATTGAGAACATAAAAATCAGAAACTCAGTAAGAGTAAATAGGTGCACCATTTCAAAATCGTTTCCAGATGGAGCAGAGTTTTTTAAGAAAAATAGAGTGAACTTCAGAGAATCAAAGCAAGAATGGGAGCGGCAGAGTTCGAATTTAAAAGAAGTTGGTTGGTCCTAAACACGATTAATCAATTCTTATTGGGCCTAAAGTTTGCCTAGGCGTCGTATACATTTTCTGATTATTTTAAGGAATGGACATGCATATTTGATTCTGATTTTTCTAAGGTACGCATGATAATGCATTTGCAGAAACGTTTCAAACACTCAGCAATATTTTAGCAAAGTTATTAGACTAACATGTTAATTAACCACTGTAATTCGAACGAATAAGAAGTCCTAAGGGCAGGATATCTAATGCACATAGGAGTACCTAAAACATGATTTCTAACATGCCGATGCAGTAATGAAAGTTTATTTGGCTTGTTGTTAATTGATTAAAGTTATGAAGTGAGTACAATAACATACTGAGAGTGCATGACCTAAAACATAATTTCTAACACATGAAAATGCATGCCCTAAGCAGGTTACTATTGCGCAAATAGGTAAATAAAACCTATAAACAAGTTTTCTACCCATTACTTAAAATAAACATGCATTCCCCTCCCCCATGTTCACTATCATCCCCAATCGTTCATTTACAAATTATTACAAACCAATAGTATATGAATTACAGTAATAAATAAAAAATAAGAAGTTATTCTATAGGGAGCCTTCAATCAGGCCCAGTCTTCCAACCTCACTTCCTTCGAGTTTCACAGCCTTTGCCATGGTCTAGGTGCGGCAAAGCTCCCTAGGGCCCTATTGGGTCCTTGGCCAATACCAGCACCTAAACACTTAGAAGAATGCAGGACAGGTACAGTGTGGGATTACCAGCCTTGTGTGTCAAAGTTCAGTGAGTACTCAGAGGTACCCAAAGCAATGCTCACACGAAGGGGGCAGAACCTATTCTCTTAGAGTAGTGTGAAATGCAGGAAGAAGTAGTTTAAAAGAGTTTTCAAAAACAAGGGATTTGTTTTAAAAAAAGAAGACCAGTTCAACAATATAGGATTGCATACAAGGATCATGGGGAAAGGGAACAGATAGATCACATAATGCTAGAGGAAATACAGAGATTTACTGAAGCATGACTACACAGAATTCGAAGATTCAGGGGACCAAGAAATGATCAAACTTAAACATAATACTTAGACAGCAACAGGGGGGGGGGACAATTATAACAGTTAAGATAAAAGTCAGTTAGAAGCACGCAGATCAAGCAGGGCATATAAAGTACCAGGGATCAGGGGAATTAAGAAGTGGTAAAGTTTAGGCATAATAATGTATAGCAATAGGATACGGGCATAGTAAGTAGAAGTTAGGGATAGACAATGTCATATTACAGGCTTTGAATATAAATCAGAAGACATGGTAAAATACTAAGACAAAAGAATCAATAGCATGTTGAGCAGTAGAAGCGTAAATAGAAGAAAATGAAGAAGATAATGAGCTGAAACAAGAATAAACACATTGATTGGAGACTTGAAGATTAATTAGGACATACCAGTAAGAGAGCAAGAGCAGGATGCAAAGACAAAGTGATAACGCAATATTAGCCTTGGCTTACAGACGGCTAATAATAGGCAAGAGCAGAGAACAACAATAGAGCAAAAGAGCAGGAGAGAAAGAGCACAAGAGAATGTAGAATTCAGAGTATTCAGTGATGTGTGTCTATGTTTTGCTAATGAAAGAGTAGAGTATTTATAGTTCTGAAAACGAGTAGAAAAAATAAGGTAAGAAGTTAAGTGTAGTATAATTATAGAAGTAAATACAATTAGAATCCCAATCAATGTAAGTACTCCCCTTCAATTGGGGAGTCTTAGTTCAAACGGCTACCATAGTGACAAATAAGGAAAGAGAACTAATTGAAAGACTAATTTCAATCATACAGAGAGTAGTAAAAAATAAGGCATGTGATTAGGACCAGGTACAAAACATATGAATTAAGGAAAATAAGAATTAATTGGCAAAATGCTTGCATATAAAATAAGGCAGAGTATTATTCTGAAAATCAGTAAGAGTGTAAGGCAAGTAGCACAGTTAAAGGAAAATACACAAAATCAGTAAAGAGTTCTAAGGCAAGTAGCACAGTTAAAGGAAAATACACAGAATCAGTAAAGAGTTCTAAGGCAAGCATTATAGTTAAAGGAAAATACACAAAATTAGTAAAGAGTTCTAAGGCAAGTATCATAGTTAATACACAAAGGGATCAATACAAGTAACAAGTAACAAACCGTAGGACTCATCAAGCATTTAAATAACAGTCATGCGATTAACAGGGAGAAGTACTCATAGAACAGCAGGAATTAAAGGTCGGAACAATGAATCAACGCAGGAGTTGCAGAGAACACATAGATGCATAGTCAAGTAGCAAAGAAACAACCCAAGATACCTAGGGTTTCATTAATACTCGTTGAAATAACATAAAATCAGGAGATAATAGCTTAAACACAGTAGAGACGTTAAAAATTATAGGAAACCTTTATGAAAACAGGGTCAAGAAACCCTAGTTTCAAATAGGAGACAAAAATGCTTAAAACTTGATTATTTGTAAAGATCGAGTAAAGAAAGGTTTAAAACATGAAGGAATGGGTCACAAATCGTTAAAATACAGATGGGTTTTTAAGAGACTTGGGTCGAGGTTAGGGTTTCCTAAGAAAACAGAAGAAGTAGAGGTAACCTGGCCGTGAAACTCAGGAACCATGGTTATTAGAACACCATCGAGTCAAAACTAGCCGGAGAAAGGCCGGAAACAAACCAGGCAAAGCTTCAGTGATTGACTTGTATGGCGGAGGCTTCTGGGGTCTCAAGGATAGAGGGAATCGGCGAGATAGGGTTTCATGGCGGCTGGTGGTCGAAAGAGGTGAGGTTGGAGGTGGTCGGAGAGATGGTGGAGGTCATCGGAGAAGAAGAACCAGAAGGTTCTAGAGAGAAGGGGGAGAGGAAGAGACGAAGTAGAGAGAGACTGTCTCGAAAACTGAGGGGTCGAAGGGGGGTAGTTAGATTTAATTAAGGAAAATAGATCTGGGCCGTTGATCTTACTTGATCAACGGCTCAGATTAAATCGGGGTTGGGCCGGGTTATATTAGGGATTGGGCTGGGGTGAGTTTAATTGGGTATTGGGTCAACTAAATCTGATAGAGGTGTGGCCAAATTGGCTAAAATTGAAATAATAAAGGGTTGTTTATTAAATAGCCAATTTTCCCTCTTTTATTATTTTATAAAATAGTTAAAAGATTTTAAAACAAATTAAAGGTACTGAACTTAATTAATAATGTATAAATATTAATCTAAAAATACTAAAAATGATTTTATAATTGTAAAATACTGTTAATGTAAAATAGGCTATAATTGCAATTATATGCAATTTGGCTTTAAAAATACCAAACAAATGTGTAAAAATATGCAAAAATTACCTTAAATATCTTGGTATAAATATGAGAATGAAAATAAATTATTCACCAAAAAATGCTAGTCTGGGAATAATTATTGAATTTTGTACTATTAAAATAGACAATAAATTGATTTTAAAAATCTTTAAAAATAAGGGAAAAATACCAAAACCCTTGGGCATGCTTATATATGCATGTACATGCTATTTTGAGAATATTTTGAGTATATAAAAATATGTAAGGAAAAATTAGGTATCAACAGAGAGCTGAGTAACGAGTGACTGAGAGGCCCAAGGGGCCGTATTCTGAGTGATCCTTTGTCCGAGGGCCCCTGTTATGATGTTTCCACTGTTTTCACTCTTCTTATAGATAAGCCTCTGTTGGATATATTGTCAAGTAACTGATTTCAAAGTTTTAAACTGGAAATGATGAATTTATGACAGAACTGATTTTAAAGTTATATGTTTTGAACTGTTTGTCACTGCTTTCAGTCCATTATTTACTTTAGTTACTTACTGAGTTGGCGTACTCACGTTACTCCCTGCACCTTGTGTGCAAATCCAGGTGCCCGAGCGGCCGAGTGAGAGCTTTCAGCTATTTTCCAGTATCTGCCGGGGATTTCGAGGTAGTTGCATGGCGTCCGCAGCCCTGATTTCTCCCTTCTATCTTATTACATTTCGCATTTCTAGACTATCTATGTAGTAGGTTGTTCAGACTTGTATTAGAGGCTCTAGACTCGTGACACCAGATCAGTGTGGGCTGTGTAGTTTCTATGTCTTGTTGACTTCTGTATATCTATCTTGCTGTTTTAAACACTTATTATGATAAATTGGAAATTTAACCGTGTTAGCAAATGATTTATTAAATGAAAATAGGTTGCGGTTTGATAGTTGGTCTGGCTTGCCTAGTAATGTGATAGGCGCCATCACGACAGGTATTTGGGGCCGTGATACAAATTCAGCCCAACCCGCCCATTTGCCACCCCTAAGTACATATAGGTAAAGATCTCTTCAGGCTATTTGTGACCCAAAGATAGTGGACTTGGGCCTGATGATAAAGTCAGATTGTTGACACAGCAAAGCAGAAAGCCCAACATTTACCGGGCTGAGCTATCGCATTAGCATTTGCCCAACTTCCCCAAAACCCTACTATAAACTTTCTAGGGTTTTAACGCAGCAGACAGCAGCAGCAGACAACAGCAAAGACTCTTCTCCGCCGAAGGTGAAACACAAAAATCATGTGAAATGTATTGTTTTAACTATAAATTCAGTGCAACAGGTGAATAATCGGAGCAAAAGAAGAAATGGACGCAGGTGTAGTAGCCGCCCCGGTGGATGCAAGCGCAGAGAATAAGGTTCACAGCGATGTTATGCTTTTCAATCGCTGGACCTACTACGATGTTCAGGTACCTTCCATTTCTCTTAATTCCTTTTAAGTAACTCATTTTTTCATAATGACATATTTATTGCTGCTAAAAACTCCTTCCTTTTCCTAGAATCAAGCTGAATGTACTTCCTTTAAATTATACTATGTTGCTCCACTTAGCACTAGAAGTTCTCTACAATTTATCTGCTGCTATATAGATATCTCTACAAGACTGAGAGGTTTCTAGCAAAAATTGGTGTCCCTTACCTATGTAGATCCTTTGCCATATTATTCGTTCATCTGCATTGAATCCAAGAGATTTACGTCTTTTTGGACTGCGCATGTCCATGTGATTTTAGGTTTACCCGTCCCTGTTTAGATGACGTTCACTCAGCATGGTTGCACTTCTATTAACTGGTACCAGATAGACAAATAAGCTAATTCTGGGGAATGGGGAGATTAGGAGGGTAATATTATGTGCTTTGCTGTTTAGTTTCTTATTCCATGAAAACTAGGTGTTGTTATTCAGTAAAAGTGTGTAATTCTTTCTCAACAACATTCCTGAAGTGGAGAATATTTTGTTAGAATTATAAATTTAATAATTAACAGACACTGGAGAGAAATAGAAAATGAAGAGTGTTAAGTAATACCTAGGTGATTGTTATTTCTGTTTTTGCCTTTTATACTTGAGTTTTATTTTTAAGTTCCTCTATTAGTAAGGTTGAAACTTATCTTGAATACAATTTAAAAGTTCTCTCTAACTATGATCTCACTTTTTGGTGAAGATCAATGACATCGCTGTTGAGGATTACATCACAGCAACAGCTTCCAAGCATCCGGTTTATATGCCATACACAGCTGGTAGATACCAGGCTAAGCGTTTCAGGAAGGCCCGATGCCCAATTGTTGAGAGGCTCACCAACTCTCTTATGATGCATGGACGGAACAATGGGAAGAAGCTAATGGCTGTCCGCATCATCAAGCATCCAATGGAGATCATTCATTTGTTGACTGACCAGAACCCAATTCAAGTAATTGTTGATGTTGTCATCAACAGGTGCGCACTGATGACGGGCGCTTAATTGATCCATATATTCTTCTATCTTTATTTTTGGGGTAACAATGGGCCCATCTTGGCATCAAATGTTGTTTCAATATTTGTAGATATTGGTTTGGCCATCCATATTTGCAAATACTGACATTGAGTATCCAAAATGCTGGTGGGTCATTTGAATACTAGTTTAACTAATCTCAAATAAAATAATGATTTTTGCTAACAAATATTCAACTTTCTTCAACTGTTTTTTTAAGTGAAGTTCATGCCTACCATATATGTCTCATTAATAGCTTTGTCTTCTCCATTTGATCATCTAGTGGGCCAAGGGAAGATGCAACTCGTATTAGTTTAGCTGGTGTTGTGAGGCGTCAGGCTGTTGATATTTCTCCACTTCTCCGTGTTAACCAGGCCATTTATTTGCTGACAACTGGTGCACGTGAGAGTGATTTCAGGAACATCAAGACCATAGCTGAGTGCCTTGCAGATGAACTCATCAATGCTGCCAAGGGTTCTTCAAATAGGTAAAAGGCTTGAGATTTTGAGTGTTCACGCATCTTAGAAAATTATAGATATATTTCAAACTTACTGCTTCGTTATAAAATAGTATACTTGATTTGTGAACCTTTTTTTCCAAATCACTTTCTTTGGATGTTTGCAACTTATTTGGTTACTACTGTGGATTATGTTTGTTTCTGCAGCTATTCCATTAAAAAAAAGGATGAGATTGAGAGGGTTGCCAAGGCCAACCGATGAAGAGGTCGATATTGGAGAACTATTTACAAGACAGTTTTGGATTGTCATTTTCTCATTTCTTTTGTCATGTAGTATTTTAGCCTGTCATGGAGATGAAAGGATCCAATTATCAGCATCTGCTATTCCTTGTTGAGTTAATTTCTTGGATTATTTTACATGTTTAAACTTGATATGCTTGGAATTGGTATAGATGTTAAAATTTGAAGTTCCTTTCGTCGGGTTCTCAGTATTTTTTTTTAAAAACTTAATATGCTTGGAATTGTTATAGATGTTAAAACATGAAGTTCCTTTGGTGTAACGACCCGACCGGTCGTTTTGAGCCCTAGGGCGTCGTTCAGCAGTTTGAGGCCATGAACAACTTCATTTCAGGTATTGTGACTTGTACGCGGGGTCAGAATTGAATTTCGGGAAGTTCAGAGTTGATTTGGAAAGAGAATTCTCATTTCGGAAGCTTAAAGTTGAAAGAATGAACTAGGATTGGAATTTTGAGTGAACGACCTCGAAATCGGGATCTGAAGGTTCTAGTAGGTTCATATAATGATTTTAGACTTGGGCGTATGCCCGGTTCGGATTTTGGATAACCCGGTAGCGTTTTGGCGCCTATTGTGGAAGTTAGCATTTAAAAGGAATTTCTTAAGTTTGGCTTGAAGTGCATTTCATTGTTATCGATGTCCGTTTGGGATTTCGAGTCTGGGAATAGCTCCGTATGGTGATTCTGAAGTTGGGAGCGCGATCGGAAGTGAATTCGGAGGTCCGTAGGTCATTTTGGAGTCATTTGGCTAAAGATAGAAATTTGAAGGTTTTTGAGAAGTTTGACCGGAAGTGGACTTTTTGATATCGGGGTCGGAATCCAATTCCGAAAGTTGGAGTAGGTCCGTAATGTCGAATATGACTTGAGTGCAAAATTTGAGGTCAATCGGACGGGATTTGATAGGTTTAAACGTCGGAAATAGATGTTTGGAATTCTAAAGTTCATTAAGCTTGGATTGGGGGTTGATTCATGATTTTAGCGTTGTTTGATGTGATTTGAGGCCTCGAGCAAGTCCGTAATATGTTTTGGGATTGGTTGGTGTGATTAGTTGGGGTCCCGGGGGCCTCGGGTAGATTCCGGGTGGTTGACAGATCGATTTTTGGAGTTGAAGAAAAGCTGAAGCAGCTGGTATCTGGTATTTCTGCACCTGCGAAGTTTTGGCCGCAGGTGCGGAGCCGCAGAAGCGGCCAGGAGGACCGCAGATGCGGATTTTGGGTGAGGAAAGCTGGGACTGCAGATGCGGTTAGGGAGCCGCAAATGCGGGACCGCACCTGCGGAAAAGGGAGTGCAGAAGCGGAAGCTGGGCGGCTTGGGAAGGAGTCGCAGAAGCGGCGTTTTGACCGCATAAGCAGAGCCACATAAGCGGAAATAATTCCGCAGAAGCGGAAATGCCTGGAGGCAGAAAGTTTGTTTTGAAATCGGGGTTGAGTTCATTTCTCTCATTTCTTTCAAGGCTTGGGCGATTTTTGGGGAGCTTCAAGTGGAGATTTTCGTCATCAATGTTAAGGTAAGTTATCCCCACCTATTTTGAGTTGAATACATCAATTATGTATGGATTTGGGCATGAAAATTAGTATAAAAATTGAGGTTTTGGTGGAAAACCTAGAAAATTTTATTCTTGGAATTTAGCCACGAAATTGAACATGGAATTAGGAGTAAATTGTATATTTGAGTTCATAAGGTCATGGGTAATCTTTATCTTCGAAAAATTTTGGATTCCGGGCGCGTGGGCCCGAGGGCGTTTTGGTCAACTTTTCGATCGGAGTTAGGAATTACTATAAATTAGATTGTAATGAATAATTGGGCATATGTTAATGGATTTGTGTAACCGTTGGCTAGCTTTGGAGCGTGGTGCATCAATTGGAGTCTTCGGAAGGGCGTAGAGTGCCGGTTATGGATCTTCCGAGCGAGGTGAGTCTCCTTTCTAACCTTGTGAGAGGGAAATGTCCCCATAGGTGAATTAATTGGTTATGTGCTCCTATTTGTGGGGCTACGTACGCACGAGGTGACGAGAGTCCGTGCGTAGCTACTATTATGCTATTGTCCGGGTAGCTAGGACCCAAAAACATGAATACTTGGATTATTTGCAAACCCTATGATAGCTTGAATTGCTTATATCACATAGAATTGGTAAATGAATTTCGAAAGGGATTAAACTTTACTTCTTAAAATTTGTTAAAAGAGGAATTGATATATTTTGATAAATATTCCCTGATAAGTTCTTACTTGATTGATTGAGCATGTATCTCTATGTGTACCTGCGTCGCATGTATGATTCGCGAGCAGGGTATGTGTTTATTTTATGTTGACCGCGTTGCGCATTATTTCGCGAGCGGGGTAATAGATGCATCTATAGGCGCGCCGTCGACCCTCGGCAAGTGCACATTTCTTTTCTTTTGGATCGGCTCGTCGCCTCGGTATGATTTGCGCATGATATTTTTATATATATTGCTGCATGAGAAATTTTAAATGATGATATTGCCTTTCATGGCTTGGGATAAGTTGATAAAATGGAGAAAAGTAAACCTTGAAAATCCCTTATTAATTGTTGAAGGTGTATTACCTGTTTACCCGCTTTGTGAGTTAGAACTGCTTTATAAAATCCCTGATTTCCTCACATTTTTAGTATGTTATTATTGGACCACTAGTAAGTGTCAAAGTTGACCATCTCGTCTCTACTTCTCCGAGATTAGACGGGATACTTGCTGAGTACACGTTGATTACGTACTCATACTACACTTCTGTGCATTTTTGTTGCATAGGTATAAGTAACTCTAGCGGCCTACTGGGCGTAGCAGCGTGGGTGACTCTGGGACTAGGTGAGCTGCATAGTTCGAGGCGACCCGCAGCTAGTGTAGTTCCTTTCAGCATTTTTATATTTATTCCCTGTCCACTGTATCTCGGACAGATGTTGTATTTTATTTTCCTTATCAATAGATGCTCATGCACTTGTGACACCGGGTTCTGGGATGGTTTTCGAAAGATGTGTACTAATAGTTATTTCTTAAATTTAATTGAAGCAGAGATTGTTTTATTTATGAAAAAAATGGAAGGAAAAATCCTAGATTTTTCAAAGGTATTAAAAGAGGATTTAATTGATTATTTAGTTGGCTTGCCTGACAACGGTGTCCGGCGCCATCACGACCCTTAGTGGATTTTGGGTCATGACAATATGGTATCAGAGCACTAGGTTCCTAGGGTCTCGCGAGTCATGAGCAGGTCTAGTAGAGTCTCGCGGATCGGTACGGAGACGTCTGTACTTATCCTCGGGAGGCTGCAGGACTGTTAGGAGTACTTCCCTTCTTGATTCCTTATCGTGCGATTTGATCCCTGGAGGCGTATGCCTTTAATTCATTCCTACTCAATCTTACGCGACGCAAAGTGCTTGTTATAGATCGAGAATTGAAGAGCCATGATGGTGCTACAGATGTGATACAGGATGTTTCTCCTGGTATAGCTGATCGGATTATTATCATCGCTTTATGGAGGAATATTTTATTGTCTCAGCTCAGTAACGGTACTTCTGAGGGCTTTGAGGCTAGGCACAAGTTTCCACGATGCTTATGAATGACTGTTCCGCAGTAGTGATATTATGGTAGGATGTTGCCCACGTGTCGGGGCAGTAAATGACTTGAAGGGAGGTTTACTCAGAGCATAACCAAGAGATTCAGTATTTTATTCCCGGTAGGGGGAAAGATAATCGAATTAAGGATGGTCAGATGTGGGCTGGTGGAAGTAATGAGACTTGGTATTTGCAAGCGTAGTGGAGTTTTCTTCTATGTGGGGTGTTGTTGTCCTAATTGAACATATTAAGTGTGTCGGCGTCATAATCTTTTGCAATTCGCCTTTGGGGCAAGATATTGTGAAATAGTAACGGAGATGCAACTATCGGATATCGCAGGATGCGGTGGTTCAGGATTGAATCAGTATTTCTAATGTTGACGGTTCGAGAAAGATGACTTTCGGAGAAGTTTGGAGCTAGTAGCGATTTGTGGATTCAAGTACTATGAAGATAAATATTATTAAGGCAACAATTGAGCAGCAGAAGATGAGAAACATGTGGGAAGTGTCAGGCGGAGTTTTAAATTGCTAAAAGACCAGGCTTAGGAAGTGCAGGTCGAGCAGTTGATTGAGGGAGTGAGTTTTCCCAAAGTGGGAGAGTGGCGAAGCTGCGTAGGGGCTTGGTAATAAGATGACTATGCGCTTTAAGGGAGTTGGAGTGATTTGGGAATATTGGTGCTTGGCTATTGGAGTCTATGGAATTAATTAGAAGTAAGAGCTATCATGCGGCAGGAGATTTAATATAACAAAAAGGAGCCGCTTAAGTGAAGAAGGATGCAGCATAACTTGGAATTGGAAGGATGTTGCCGCGCATTTAAGCGATGTTCACGAGGGGTAAATGGACCTGCGCAGCTGGAGGGTGATCTCAGACTCAGGATGGGTTACTGATGTTGAAGTGATTGTACCCCGTGCAGCGGCGTTGGAAGATGCCAGGGAGAGCTTTTATAGGTGGGCTACCCAAGTGAGCGGGTTAGCGGTTGCATGGTTGGCGAGGCTTCGGCGAAGGATCCTATTGGGTATGCAGCGAAAAGATCGATCGTGCGAATGTGGTGGATGATTTAGAGTATAAGGAAGGGATTTTACAGAAAGATCTCGAGAATTTTGGCGGTTGATTGCGCAAGGTTATGTCAATAAGAGATAAAAAAAAAAGACGGGTGAGTTCCAGATTGGTGAAATTATGGCTTCAAGCTAAGTGGGAGAGTCCCACCGCTTATGATGGGGTTGCAGAGTTAACTACCTGCAAGGTTTCTGGTTGTTAGCATATTGATGGGCTATTTCAGCTACGGGAAAAGACCATAAGTGGTAATCTGAGCTAAGGAATTATTAAAGGTGGGCTATCGTTGGCCTTATTGGCCCATGTCCAGACATGGGGAAAGATTCAGGATTTTTGCTTTGTTTAGGCGCGGAT